CAGCTGATAAACAGCTTTAGTAATGTGGCAGGATACAAGATCAACTCCAAAAAATCAGTTGCCCTCTTATACACAAAGGATATGGAAGCAGAGAGGGAAATCAGAGAAGCTTCACCAATCACGATAGCCACAAACAGCATAAAATATCTTAGGGTAAATCTAACCAAGGAAGTGAAAGATCTATTTGACAAGAACTTTAAGGCATTGAAGAAAGAAATTGAAGAGGATACCAAAAAATGGATGGACCTCCCTTGCTCTTGGATTGGGAGGATCAACATAGTAAAAATGGCAATTCTACCAAAGGCAATTTATAGATTCAATGCAATCCCCATCAAGGTCCCATTAAAATTCTTCACAGATCTGGAGAGGACAATAATCAACTTTATATGGAAAAACAAAAAACCCAGGATAGCCAAAACAATCCTATACAATAAAGGATCTTCTGGAGGCATTACCATCCCTGACTTCAAACTCTATTACAGAGCTACAGTATTGAAAACAGCTTGGTATTGGTATAAAAACAGAGAAGTCGACCAATGGAATTGAATAGAAGACCCAGACTTTAACCCACAAACCTATGAACACCTCATTTTCGATAAAGGAGCTAAAAGTATACAATGGAAGAAAGAAAACATCTTCAACAAATGGTGCTGGCACAACTGGATGTCAACCTGTAGAAGAATGAAAATTGACCCATATCTATCACCATGCACAAAACTCAAGTCCAAATGGATCAAAGACCTCAATATCAGTCCGAACACACTGAACCTGATAGAAGAGAAAGTGGGAGGTACCCTACAACAGATGGGCACAGGCGATCGCTTCCTACGTATAACCCCAGAAGCACAGACATTAAGGGCAACACTGAATAAATGGGACCTACTTAAACTGAGAAGCTTCTGTAAAGCAAAGGACACTGTCACTAAGACACAAAGGCAACCTACTGACTGGGAGAAGATCTTCACCAACCCCGCAACAGACAAAGGTCTGATCTCCAAAATATATAGAGAACTCAAGAAACTAGACTTTAAAATGCTAATTAACCCAATTAAAAAAATGGGGCACTGAACTGAACAGAGAATTCTCAACAGAAGTTCAAATGGCCAAAAGACACTTAAGGTCGTGCTCAACTTCCTTAGCAATCAGGGAAATGCAAATCAAAACAACTTTGAGATATCATCTTACACCTGTCAGAATGGCTAAAGTCAAAAACACCAAGGATAACCTTTGCTGGAGAGGCTGTGGAGGAATGGGTACCCTCAGCCATTGCTGGTGGGAATGCAATCTTGTGCAACCACTGTGGAAGTCAGTGTTTCGGTTTCTCAGGAAATTCGGGATCAACTTACCCCTGGACCCAGCAATACCACTCCTGGGAATATACCCAAGAGATGCTCTATCATATGACAAAAGCATTTGTTCAACTATGTTCATAGCAGTATTATTTGTAATAGCCAGAACCTGAAAACAAACTAGATGCCCGTCAATGGAAGAATGGATGAAGAAAGTATGGAATATATATATACACGCTAGAGTACTACGCTGCGGTAAAAAACAATGACTTCTCGAATTTTGCATGCAAATGGATGGAAATAGAAAACACTATCCTGAGTGAGGTGTCCCAGACCCAAAAAGATGAACATGGGATGTACTCGCTCATAATTGGTTTCTAGCCATAAATAAGGGCCACGGAGTCTACAATAGGTGAACCTAAAGAAGCTAAGTAAGAAGGTGAACCCAAGGAAAAACATATAGTTATCCTCTTGGCTAAGGGAAGTAGACCAAATTGCCGGGGAGAAAATTGGGATCTTGGGGGTGGGGTGGGATGGGGGTAAGGGGAGATGGGGAGAGAAAAGGTAGAAGGGAAGGAGGGGGGACTTGGGGAAACAGGAGAATTGGGATAAAGGAGGGGTGGATAGGGGAGCTCGGAACCACAATTCTTATTTAAGGGAGCCACTTTAGGGTGGGCAAGAGACTTGACCCTAGAGGGGCTCCCAAGTGCCCAAGATGAGGTTCCCAGTTAGTTCCTTGGGCAGCTGAGGATTGGGAACCTGAAATGACCCTATCCTAGAGCAATACTGACGAATATCTTGCATATCATCATAGAACCTTCATCTGGTGATGGATAGAGATAGAGACAGAGACCCACACAGGAGCACTGGACTGAGCTCCCAAGGTCCCAATGAGGAGCAGAAGGAGGGAGAACATGAGCAAAGAAGTCGGGACCACGAGGGGTGCACCCACCCACTGAGACAGTGGAGCTGATCTACTGGGAGCTCACCAAGGCCAGCTGGACTCTGACCGAAAAAGCATGGGATAAAACCGGACTCTCTGAACATGGCGAACAATGAGGGCTGATGAGACGCCAAGGACAATGGCACGGGGTTTTGATCCTACTTAATGTGCTGGCGTTGTGGGAGCCTAGCCAGTTTGGATGTTCACCTTCCTAGATATGGACGGAGGGGGGAGGACCTAGGACTTACCACAGGGCAGGGAACCCAGACTGCTCTGAGGACTGGAGAGGGAGGGGGAGAGGAGTGGGGGGAGGGGGAGAAGGGTGGGAGGAGGGGGAGGGAAATGGGAGGCTGGGAGGAGGTGGAAACTTGTTTTTTGTTTATGTTTTTTTTCTTTTCTCAATAAAAAAAAAATTTTAAATAAAAAAAAAGACAGAAAAAAAAGAAGAGAAAAACATCCCATCGTTCATGTCCAGAAGAACATTTACCTGAAATCCTAGGTTCACTCTCCAGCATCACACGGCAGGGGGTTTGGATTGGGGGCTGGAGAGATGGCTCAAAAGTTAAGAGCACTTGTTGTTCTTGCTGAAGATCCGGGTTTGAGTCCCAGCACCACGTGGTAGCTCACATGCATCTGTAACTCCAGTTCTGTGGGCTCTGATCCCCTCTTTGGGCCTCCAAGGGCACCAGGCATACACATGGTGCCTACACCTGTATGCAAGCAAAACACTCAAACACATAAAATAAAATAAGTAAATATAAAAAGTTGAGAAATAAATATATTCCGGACAAAATTCTGCATGCATTAACGAGGAAAAAAGTCTTAGCAAGCTAGGAATGGAATGCAACCCACTATCTCTGATAAAGGATAGCTATAGAAACCTATAATCTTTGATTATATTATCTACAGCTGAGCATATTCTTTATAAAATTATAAACACGGCCGGTGAGATGGCTTCCCAGGTAAAGTGCTGCCACACCTGAGAAACTGCATTCAATCCTCCACATCTACATGATGAAAACAGAGACCAAAGTCCTAGTAGCTGTCTTCTGAGCTCCTCCTGCATTCCTTGACAAGTATGCCCTGAAAACATGCGCATGTACACACAGAGAGAGGAAGAGAGAGACAGAGAGAAATAAATGTAAAGGGTTTTAAAGGCTATCAACAAGATAAAATGTGCTCCCCCTTACCATTCTCATTCAACAATATACAAAATGTACTGGCCAGAACATCAAAGCAAGGAAAAGGAAATCAAAGGTCTACATATTGGAAAATAAACTAGCAGATTTACTTTGTTAACAGTCGTCTATGTAAGTGATCCTAAGGGACCTATAAGAAAGGTATTCTAGAAGTGAAAATTAAATCACCATTTTATTTCTATATGCTAGCAGTAAGCCAACGAAATGTTGAAGTTTACTAGAGGCAATTTACAATACTATATAGATATGAGAAACTTATTGACAAATTTTACAAGAAATAGCAAACCTTATATCCTAAAAATTATGAAGCAGTTCCATGAAGGAAAACTTGGTATTCTTTTGATATCTCTTATTTCCAAATTCATGTTAAAATTTATTAAAATCTGAATTTCAATCAAAAGCTCGCATAAGAAGGAACTGACAAACTGACTCAAAATTTACATGGAAATATGCCGAGCAGTGGTGGCACACACCTTTGATTCCAGCACTTGGGTACTCAGGAGGCAGAGGCAGATGAATCTCTGTGAGTTTGAGGCCAGCCTGATCTACAGAGTGAGTTCCAGCATGCCCAGGGCTACACAAAGAAACCTGTCTTGGAAATAGAAAAGTTGGAGAGTGGTGGCACATGCCTTTGAACCCAGCACTCATGAGGCAGAGGCAGGTGGATCTCTGTGAGTTCTAGACCAGCCTAGTCTACTGAGTGAGTTTCAGGATAGCCAAGAGATACAGAGAGAAACCTTGTCAAAAATGAACTAGAAAGAGAGAGAAATGTCAAAGGACCATGATGATGTGTTTCAGTTGTGCTGACAGTTTTGTGAATATATATACACACACAAACACATGTATAATACATCAAATTCTACTTTTGTAGTACATGCAAGTATACATCACTATATTCCAATTAAGGTAAAAAAATAGAGAGTAATTATATTAATTCATTACAAAATAGTTCAGATTATTGTTATTTAAATTGTTTGAAACTATAAAAAAGAAATTTTGAACTAATTTTTTACATTAATACTAAAATTTGATAAATATTGTACACATATAAAATTGTGGTTCAGTACCAATTATATTTTGAGATAATTATTCTAAATAAAATACTTAACAAATGTGCTCAGCTGACTATTAAATAAATTAATACTGCTCAACTAAGTATAATTTATTAGGAAATTATAGACCATCAATATTAGTGCACTTTGAATACTGAACATATTACTAGATCTGGAGAAAGATCAAATAGTCCTCTCTGCACATACGGAAAAATTGTTTGGCAGAAATGAACAGATTTTGTGGGAGGGTAGGTATACAGACATGCACAGGCATGTATGCATACCTATATGTGCATGCAGAGTCCAGAGAACATTGAGTCTTCCTCTAAGATTCTCCACTCTAGCTTCTGAGACAGGATCTCTCACTGTACTTGAAGCTTGCTATTTTAGCTAGGCTGCTGGCCAGGCAGTTCCAGGATCTATCTGTTTCTGTCTCGCAATGCTGTGATTAGGACATTCATGGTTATGCCTGACTTTTACATGGGTGATAAGGATTTAAACTCAGGTCTTGGCCCATCCTGATGGCTGGAGGCGTCTGAGGGGCGGACGGCGACGGCGGCGGCGGCGGCGGCGGTGGCGGGCGCGGGCGGCGAGGGCAGCGGGGCTGGAACTGAAACAGCCGCCGCGCGGACCCGACCAGCCTCGCCGGCTCCTGCCCGCAGGCCGCGAGCGCGACGACCGGGTCGATCAGGCGGCGGCGTGGGCGCCAGACTGGGCGAGGGCGAGATAGACTTACATGTGTGGGAAAACAGACCAGAAACACTTCTGAATTAAGAGCTTGAATTCTGAAGTGAGGAGAGCACTGAGACCTGAAGATGAGTGAACTTGACCAGCTGCGGCAGGAGGCCGAGCAACTGAAGAACCAGATCAGAGATGCTCGTAAAGCTTGTGCTGATGCAACTCTTTCTCAGATCACAAACAACATTGATCCGGTGGGAAGAATCCAAATGCGAACCAGAAGAACGCTGAGGGGTCATCTGGCCAAGATTTATGCCATGCACTGGGGCACAGACTCAAGGCTCCTTGTCAGCGCCTCTCAGGATGGAAAACTCATCATCTGGGACAGCTACACCACAAACAAGGTCCATGCCATCCCTCTGCGCTCTTCCTGGGTTATGACCTGTGCTTACGCTCCTTCTGGGAATTACGTGGCTTGTGGGGGCCTGGATAACATCTGCTCCATTTACAATCTGAAAACCCGTGAAGGGAATGTGCGTGTGAGTCGTGAGCTGGCAGGACACACAGGTTATCTGTCCTGTTGCCGGTTCCTGGATGACAATCAGATAGTCACCAGCTCTGGAGACACCACATGTGCCCTGTGGGACATTGAGACTGGCCAGCAGACGACGACATTTACTGGACACACTGGAGATGTCATGAGTCTGTCTCTCGCTCCTGACACCAGACTGTTTGTCTCTGGTGCTTGTGATGCTTCAGCCAAGCTCTGGGATGTCCGAGAAGGGATGTGCCGGCAGACCTTTACAGGACATGAGTCTGACATCAATGCCATATGTTTCTTTCCCAATGGCAATGCCTTTGCCACTGGCTCAGACGATGCTACGTGCAGGCTGTTTGACCTCCGTGCAGACCAGGAGCTCATGACCTACTCCCATGACAACATTATCTGTGGAATCACATCTGTTTCCTTCTCCAAGAGTGGCCGCCTCCTCCTGGCTGGGTACGATGACTTCAACAGCAATGTCTGGGATGCACTCAAAGCTGACAGAGCAGGTGTTTTAGCTGGACATGACAACCGTGTCAGCTGCCTGGGGGTGACTGATGATGGCATGGCTGTGGCAACAGGGTCCTGGGACAGCTTCCTCAAGATCTGGAACTAAGGCCAGTAGCAGCAGGTGGATGCCATGGTGACTGGAAGACCATTCCAACCTTGGAGCGTTACAGCGATAGCATACCCTATCCAACCATACTAACGTGGACACCCACACCTCCCCTCAGAACTTCAAAAGGGCAAGATCTTTTTTCCTTCACTTATTGCTGAAACCAAGAGCACAACTCCCATTAAGAGAAGGATCTCTGTGCTGTAAACTAAAACAAATTGTGCATTCCTTCCGGGGCCATTGTCTTTGTTTTCTTCTTTTGTCTTGGGTAAATTTTAAAAGGAAATACTACAATAAAAATGTTAACCAGAAGGTAACCCTGAGTGTGATTGTGAGACAGACACGCCTCTTTACTAGTTCATTTGCATTTTAGATCAGTGATCTTTTTCTGTGGCATTCTGTAATTGTTTCTAAATACGAGTTATTTGTAGCAGACTTTGGAAGCATTCACATTTCTTTCTTAAATATATTCCTTTATGTTCAATAACTAAAAAAACCAGAGCCCATGGTAGCCTCTGATTTGTCAGGGATGCAGTTTTGTCCCTGGCTGTTTTTTTTTTTTTTTAAATCTCATGTCATAGATGAATGTTTCGTACAAACACGGCATAGTGGAAGAAAAACATTCAGAAGCTAAGTAGCCAAGCACATGATGTGACGGCCACAAATGCTTTATTGGAATCCTTCCCCTTTGCTCAGCAGTGAACTTACTCCCAGCACCCTTCCCTCCTGACTTGTCCTCCTCACTGTCTAGTTTCTTCTCTTACCTTGGGTTTCCTGTGAAGTTGGAGGGAAGTTTGTAGTCATGTGACACTAGCCGTCCTGCCCCTGCTGTCAGAGACTTGTTCTCCAGAGAGGTGCCTGTCCTGTGCTTGGATAGTCAGTTGGTTATTTGTGTATGAAACCATGTACAAATCAATGTTTTGAAAATAATGATCTCAGACTTTCTAAGTTAAATTTTAAACAATTTGATTGTTTGCCATATTGGGTGGGTTTACTCTTAGAATCGCATGCTGTAGAAATGCTCTAAAATGCATATAGGACTCAGTCCTTAGATGTTCTTTTTCTTTTAAGAAATAACCTCTTCAAGTTGTACAAGTGGCGGCTTTGTCCATTACTGTTGCTATTCTGCACACATATTGGGAGCAGCAAGCGCTTTACACGCTTGAGTAGTGGGATAAGTCACTGTTTTCTTTACTTTAAAAAACAAAACAAGCAGTCCTGTTGGGAATGATTGCTGTTGGATTCAGGAGGGGAGAGGGAAAGCCGCTCTGCTGCCTCTTTGCCACTTCCTGGAAGCCTGCCTCCATGGAACAGCCTTTTGCATCCGAGGCGACAATTTTCCACCATGCAGATCCTCGTGGTTATCATCTCAAGCCATGTTCAGCAGCAGCGTTTGGACAGCAGTGTTCTGTGGGCCTCCCCTCCCCTGTACCCTGCACCCTCATAGCAGTAGTGGCTTCGCCATCCTGTTTTCTGCAGCGTCCTGTACAAAACTGTGCTGTGACTGCAGTAGGCCTGGACCTGGCAAAGAGAACACAGCGAAGCCCCTTCTCTTCCTACCAAACAACTCTGTAGAGCTCTCTGCACCCTGTACCCTTTTCACCTTTTGTATTTAATTTTAAAGTCAGTGTACTGCAAGGAGGCTGGATGCAAGATAGATACTATATTAAACTGTACTGTTATTTAAGATGTAATAAAGCAGTTTGACATGAGGGAAAAAAAAAAAATAAACTCAGGTCTTTTTATTTATACAGCAAGTACTTTTACCCAGGAGTCCTCTCCTGAACCATCACTTTTGTAGAATAATATATACATAATAGGAAACTGTAGATTATTTTTAAATATGTACATATAAATACAGAGGTATCTTTGGGGGAAAGTCAGTATGTTATTAAATGGGAAAACAATAGTGCCCATCCCACTAAAGTCAAGATCATGACAAAGACAATCACCATTATTTCTCAATGAGCACAGCTGAGAAAGAGCAAGAAAATGAAAGTATAAAAGTTAGAAGGAGTAGGGTGTGGTAATATATATCTGTAATCCTTGCATTCGTGAGGCTGAGGCAGGAGCATCACCTGTTCTGGGCCACCCATATCTATGTAGTGAGATCCTGTCTTTTAAAAAGTGAAAAGAAAGAGCGAAACTGTCAAATAATTAACTGAAAATTATCTTAAATATTAACAGAATAGAGAAAATCAGCAAGGCAAAAATTGATAAAGAGTAGTCCAAAGAGATAGGAATGAGGCAATAGAAATGAGCACCATCGTAAGAACAATGAAAGGGCTCCACTAGGTAGGAAAGAAATTCTTAAGAAATAAAGCAAAAGGCTATGAGAACAAAGCTGTGAAGAACAAATAAGGAGATATAACATGTTCCTAAGAATAAATGGCACCAGATATGTGCAAATTTTGCCTAGGTGTATAGATTTAAAATAATCCCATTGAAATTAAATTTTCTGTTCTTCATCAATTATCACTGCCTGTTCTCTACTTTTATATGCTTACATTGACTGTTTTACCAATTACTAACAGAGGAGTTCCTTTCACAGATTTTGTTTCTCAAAAAGAAAAGGGTAAACCTTCCAAAACAGACAAAAAAAGGCACGAATAGGCTGTTCACAAGAGAAGCAATATCAAATAGAGATATGAAATAATGTTCAGGCTCATTGCTTATTAGAGAAATGCAAATAAAAACCAAAATGAAATACGACTATATACCCATAAAATTTGCAAGAATTACGTATGATTATATTATTTTCACAGACCTAGAGGATAAGGTGAACTCCTTTAATAAAGCAGCATATCATTTTCTCATAGAGTCTAAATTGCACTCTCAGCTCCAGCAACAGGTCTGCCTGCACGCTGCCATGCCCTCCTTCATGATCATGGTGGACTGAATCTCTGAAACTGTAAGCAAGCTTACCCAATTAAATGTTTCCTTTATAATAGTTGTCGTGGTCATGCTGTCTCTTCCCAGCAATAGTAAACTCTAACGAAGACACTGTCTGATGACATTTGGGGTAATCACCAATCTGATCACAGGAGATGGCTTGTTCAGGCTTCCTCTCCACTATTGCTAGGAGTCTTAGCTGGGATCATCCTTATGGATTCGCGGGAGTTTCCCTTGCATCAGGTGTCTACCTGACACCAAAATGCCCCCATATCAAGACATCTCTTTCAGTACTCTTCCCCTCCACCCACCCCATAAGATGATTCCTCAAGTTCCTATCCTTAACCCGTCTCAGTCCACCCAGGAGATCTTTTCTATTTCCCCTTCCCTAGGAAATCCATGCACCACACCCTCTGTGGGTCCCTCCTTGTTACCTAGCCTCTCTGGGGCTGTGGATTGTAGCATGATCATCCTTTATTTTACAGCTATTATCCACTTATGAGTGAGTACATACCATGTTTGTCTTTCTGGGTCTGCGTTACCTCACTCGGGATGATGTTTTCTAATTCCATCCATTTGCCTGCAAATTTCATGATGTCATTGATTTTAACAGCTGAGTAGTAAGTACTTTATTATTTAAATGCACCACATTTTCTTTACCCATTCTTCAGGTGAGAGCTAGCTAGGTTATTTCCAGGTTCTGGCTATTACTTGTTGCTTTGAACATAGTTAAGCAAATGTCCTTGTGGTATGATTACATCATTGTTCTTGATAGATCCAGATTGAAAACAGTCCAAATCTCTATCAATAATAAATTAACTTGTCAAAGTCAGATTATTTTACACTGGAATTCTATGTATCAGTGGAAATGAATGAATTGGAGCTACACGGGACACAAGGAACTGCACAAAACAAAGTTTGGATTTGTTATAAAATATTTTGTTTGAAAGTGTATAACAAGTCTAGACATAGATACAACCATGTGTGTCTGAGTGTGTGTGTGTGTGTGTGTGTGTGTGTGTGTGTGTTGCCAGTGTGCATGTCTGTGTAGGACACATGTGCCTGATACCCACAAAGGTGAAAAAAAGAGTGTCAGATACTCTGCAACCAGAGTTACAGACAGTTGTGAGCCATTATGTAGATACTGGAAACTAAAACACAGATCCTCTTAACTGCTGAGCCATCGCTTCAGCCCTCATGTACAAAACAAGGAAAACTAAACTGCTACATAGATCATAAACTAGATAAAAGTGATAAAGTGGGGCTGGAGAGATGGCTCAGTGATTAAGAGCATTGCCTGCTCTTCCAAAGGTCCTGAGTTCAATTCCCAGCAACCACATGGTGGCTCACAACCATCTGTAATGAGGTCTGGTGCCGTCTTCTGACCTGCAGACATACACACAGAATATTGTATCCATAATGAATAAATAAATATTTAAAAAAGTGATAAAGTGCTGACAATTAAAATTATTACAGTTGGTGCTGGAGAGATGGCTCAACAATCAAAGGTGATTACTGCTCTTGCAGAGGACCCAGGTTTGATTTCCAGTGTCTACATGAGGCAGCTTACAACTGCCTGTCATTCCAGCTCCAGGGGATCTAATGCCCTCTTCTGCACAAATGCAATGCACAAAAACTCATGCAGGCATACACATATGCACATCACTCGGGGCTGAGAACCATTCCTCTAGTCCCTAGTCCAGAGGAATGGTAGATGGATCCTTCCCATTGTTCACAGGTTTCAGGGTCAAGTGATATAATAGGAAGATAAGGGATGTTGGCTAGCTGGTAACTTTGACTCTGAGGGTCTCAGGACTGTTTGTAACTGAGAAATATCAAAATAATTACCAAGGAAATATAACTGATAGTGTGCTCAGGCCTTGGGGATCTCCTCCCCACTGGAAATTGAGTTGAAACATGTGGGAGTCTCTATGACCACCATGGCCAGCAGAGTAGTTGGTGCAAATTTCCAGAGTCTGACCCCCAACTAGTTTATTTTGGGCATACTTAAGCATAGCACAACTTGGTGAAAAGTTTCCTAATGATAATAACTTACTCCCATGTGCACAACTTGACTAAATAGAAACTCTTTGTAAAGTACATGTGCCTTTCATAAAGATAGGTTCTATAGATTTACTGAGAAAAACAAGCTCATGGTAAAAGTCTGGGGGAGGTCCAGTGTGATCTTAGCCACACGGATAGTGCAAAGATCAACAGGCTATTAACCACACCTCTTCCCACCCTCTGGGTAGAAAACAGGTTATACAAGTCCCCCCTTGAAGAAGCATTCCTGTGTTTTTAACATTCTTACTTCCTCATGCGCTAATCTGTGAGCACATGAACCTCCATGCCTCCTGCACAGACAGAAGTCAAGAAAGAAATAAAACATTTTATAACTGGATGAACATGAAAACACGACA